GTTGCGACCCACAGGTTGAGAACTCTGGGTGATGGACCCCAGTGCTCATGGGAAGGGCAGATTCGCTGGGGTGTGTGCTGGACTGGCCGGACAGAACACCTGAAGTGGGCGCCCAATCCAGAGGATGTTCCAGAATGTTTGATCTGCGATAGGAAGAACCCCGAGTGGACGCCGTGCAGCAGGCTGGATGTGTCTCCCAGCTACAGCCAGCATGTTCGGAAGGACAGCTGTTTTGAAGGTCCCCTTGGGGACCAGCATCTTCTACAACATTCCACATTCTAGCAGCAGAAGGTCAACCCTGTCTGAGCCAGTTTTCAGATCACCACCTCTAGGGTGGAGGCCTTTCTAGGTTGGACAGGTAGGCGTGTAAGGTTAATGAGTGACCACGGCACAAGTCCCGAGCTGGGCCGCACTCTTCTATGGAGCTCTGGATCGTCTTGGAGCATAATGATGATTTTAACAGCACAAATCCTGGGCCTTGCCCCACGGACTTGCTTTACGGAGCCACATCCACTGGCATTATACCTGGTAAAGTCATCCCACTTTATAGATGAGGAAACTGAGGCCCAGGAAAACTGAGTTAATTGCCTCATGACTCAGCCCCAGGAACTGCTATGTGGGGGTTGGAGCCGGTCTGGGCACCCTTACCTGGCCACAGGTGCATGTGAGAGGCTGGCCTGCCTACTCTTATCACAGGCTGCCATAGGCTTGAGGCAGCCCCCCACCCCCACCCCCGCTGACCCCCTGGCAGCTGCAATTTGCAGAGGAGGGCCTCCTTGGTGGGTGGTGCCTCGCTCAGCTTCTGGGCCCCAAACATCTTACAGAGAGTGGGCAGAAGGGGGTCACTAAGAGTAGTACAGAAATGGGGGTGCAGACAGGGAGAGCAGCTCAATTTTGTCTGGTTTCTGTAGGACCCGATATCTGTGGATTTGATATCAAGAAACTCCATGTCATTTTATATTTCAAGAACCAGTATCACTCCAACAAGAAACCAATCCGGTGTAAGGTAAGCGCTTGCCCTGCTGAATCGGTGAGGCTGCTGGGTCGCCCACCCAACGGCAGCCACATTCCCAGAAGAGTTAGGGTCTTTGCCCAGCAAGGCCGGGCCAGCTGGAACTGATCTCCCGCCCCAGGGCACAGTCGCACTGCTGGAGTCCGAAGCATAGCCACCCTATAGGGCCAGGTAGAACTATCCCTGTGGGTTTCCAAGGCTGTAATTATTCACAGGAGTAGGAAACGCCATCCCTCTCTAACTGCTGGCTCCTCGGTTAGCAGTCCATCAGGTAACCACTACGCCACCAGGGTTCCGGTAGGAACTCTCCCTAGGGTAGCCTTGATCTTGGAACCAGCTTCCCCCACCCTCCTGGCTGTGGCTAACCAGGCCGTCGGGGATGAGACCTGGGTCGGAGCAGCCTGGCATCACCCTTGCCCTTTCTCCCCCGGCACCTGCAGGTGGATGCCTTCACACACCTTTACACCCTGGTTCTAAGACCAGACCTGACTTACGAGGTGAAAGTCGATGGCCAGTCGATCGAGTCGGGCAACATCGAGTACGACTGGGACCTCCTGTCCCTGAAGAACGCAGACAAGGCCTCCGAGGCAGCCAAGGGCTGGGACCAGGCTACAGACGGCCAGACTCAGGTTTGGAATTGCCCTGACACCAAACCAATGGGGCCATCGAGTCGACCCCAGCTCCTGGTGACCCCAGGTGTGTCCAGGTAGAACTGTGCCACATAGCGTTGCCAACATCACTGGGGAACTAGACTCAAGGCACCTCCACGTGGGCTTGGACCCTCATCCTTTTGGTTAGTGCCCAAATGGGTTGACTGTGCCACCTGGGGATTCCTAAATAACTACCAACACCCCCCCACCCCACCCCGCCGAAACAAAAACAAAACAGAAACCTCATTGCCATCGAGTCGAGGCTGACTCACAGCGACCCTACAGGATAGGGTAGAACTGTCCCAAGACTGTAACTCTTGACCAGGGTAGAAAGCCTCCTCTTTCTCCCCTTGAGCAGCTGGTGGTTTCGAACTGTCGACCTTGTGGTGGTTTGGAACTGCAGCCCAACTTCCACTAAGAGCTCCTTAAATAAGGACCAACCAAGA